GGAGACCCCTACCCGATGGGGGCAAAAGAACAGGCACCATTTCAACAACACCCAGACAGCTTGTGCAGTCCAGGTAGTCCTCAACTTACAATGGTTCATTTAGTGACCGTTCAAAGTTACAGCAGCACTGAGAAAAAAAGGGACTCGGGGCCGATTTTTTAGAGTTACGACCATCGCAGCATCACACGATCAAAATTCAGGCGCTTGGCTACTGACTCATCCTTACGACGATTGCAATCCCCTTTTGCAACCTTCTGACCAGAGAAGTCACAGGGGAGAAGCCAGATTTCACTGAGCAACCAAGTGACTAACGTATCAACTGCAGTGATTCGTTTAACGACTGCGGCAAGAAAACTTGCAAGACGGGGCAAAACTTAACAAATGTCTCACTTAAGCAGGAATGTTGGGTTCAATTCAGCAGTGGAATCCTACCCGTTCCACTACCGGTCCGGTGATCGAGTGCGCGTGCACGCACACTGTCATGTCCCTGTCGGAATCGGACTCGGAAGAGGAAGACAGACCGCTGACAGGGAGTGAGAGTGTGGCTCTGTTGGCTGGGGAGGAAACTGGGGAAGGGCAAAGTCTGGCTGGGCAGAGCAGGGGAGAGGTAGAACAAGGGAGAGGGAGTTCAGAGGAAGACCCAGGCCCACCCCCTCTTCATCCTAGGGCACGCAGGGAGGAACGGAGAATGGAGCAACGTGGGATGCATGGCTTACGGGGGAGGAAAGGGCCCTGATTCCCTTCATTAGCTGCAGCTGGGAACACAGTGTATAAAAAAAGGGAGGTTGCGCACAGCAAGTTGTTGGGAACAAATGTGATTTTATCTTGTATCATCGTGGCTTATCTGGGTTCCTGGCATCTTCCCAACTGTGTGAGTCTTGCCTTGCTTTCCAGTCTGCCATTCCTTCTCCTGCCCTGTCCAGTTCATGACTACAGTTTGGTTTGTTTTGGATTTGAAGTTAGAGTTTGTGTGCACCTTGTTTTGGACTGAATTTCCTGCAGCCCAAGGCGGTTCCTGGGAGAGTTTTTTTTTTTTTCTCCAGCCGAAGGTAACTTGGACATTGGGGGCAAAGTCTTGTTGCTTATCTGACTGTGTTGCCTTGGTGCCACGCCCCTTCGGGTCGTCACGGAGGATGAAGAAGAGGAACGCACCGCGGCAGGTGGGAGGGCCAATCCTGCGTTTTTCCCTTCGTTCTCCTCTCAGCTGATCGTTGGAGTTTTTTTTTTAACTACTGGTTCAGCTAAACTGGTAGGAATTTTTGCGATCGGTTCAGGCAAACCGGGCCAAACCGGTCGCATGGTTCAATTGTTGTCGTCAGTGAAGGACGACGTGCGTTGCTCCCTGGGGTCTGTGACCCCTTGTTCAGGGTCCTCCTCCCCCCCCAACCCAGCTGACCCTCTGCATTCACCCCCCCCCCCCCCTTGGTAAGAGCTCGGGGCTTCACTTTAAAACCTTGCGAGTTATTATTTGTTGAGCGTAGAATGAGAACGCGACAGAAGGGAAGTAAACCCATCTGCCCCATCGGAGAAGGAAACAGCTGAGCTGGCAAAAGGGAAGGGAACTGGCCTGCGAATGATTCCCCCCAAGCAAGGGGGGTGGGCGTGACGACCCCCCCCCCCTTTGGGGTTGAAACCGAGAGCAAGTGAGGAACACGCACGTTGGAATGAGAAGGAATTTCCTGATAGATGAATGTTTTTATTGGGGTTCCTGGTTGAATTCCTGCACTAACCAGAGGGCTCCTGGGTGCTCTCTGAGCTGGGTGGTTTTCTTACAGACCTTTCCTGACCCAACTAAGGAACATCATCAGTACACAGAGGAGGAAGAGGAAGGAGGAGGAGGAGGAGAACTCTGGGTCTTTGGGGCTCTCTGAGCTT